GGGGAAAAAAGGTTGGATCCGTTTTCCCATTAGCGCCTTTCTCTCAGTACACTGTTGCATTCCCCCCAGCCTGTTTCTCCCTCTCCCAAATACTAGAATTCGAGGTTATCCAATGAAGCTGATGGGCAGTAGGTTTAGGACGGACAAAAGGAAATACTACTTTACACAGAGAGTGATTCAAATGTGGATTTCAGTGCCAGAGGATGTCGTGATGGAGGATGTCCATCAGTGGCTACTAGCCATGGTGACTGAAGGGAACCTCCACATTCAGAACCACTAATGATCTGAATCCCAGAGCCAGAAGGCAACATCAGGGGATGGCCTTGGCCTCCATGCCCTGGAGAACTGTCTGGCCTCTGTGTGAGACAGGATGGTGGACTGGATGGACCACTGGGCTGATCCAGCAGGGCTCTTCTGAGGTTCTTATGAAGGCCTTGGTCTCTCTGCCCTGTTGTTGGCCCTCCAGAGGAACTGGCTGGCCACTGTGTGAGACGGGATGCTGGGCTAGATGGACCACTGGTCTGATCCAGCAGGGCTCTTCTGATGTTCTTATGAAGGCCTCGGCCTCTGTGCCCTGTTGTTGGCCCTCCAGAGGAACTGGTTGGCCACCGTGTGAGACAGGAGGCTGGACGAGATGGACCACTGGTCTGATCCAGCAGGGCTTTTCTGATGTTCTTATTAAGGTCTCGGCCTCTCTGCCCTGTTGTTGGCCCTCCAGAGGAACTGGTGGACCACTGTGTGAGACAGGAGGCTGGACGAGATGAACCCCTGGTCTGATCCAATAGGGCTGTTCCAGTGTTTTTCTGTTCCCTCTTCAACTCGCACACCATGATCAGTCTTTGTGCTTTACAGAGTCTTTGGTCTGATCCCAGTGAGCCTCAGGCATATCCAACAAAGTGGAGTTGGTTTCTTCTCCCAAAACCAGGATTCTAAACCATGATTTATTCTAGCTGAGCATCCCTGTAGTCCTGGGAAGGAAGGAAACCCTAGTTTTGATAACGTTCCTGCATTCAGATGCTGGAGACTGGAGGTCGTTCAGAGCTAGTACGAACCTGGCTTATCGCTTTCCCCCTTTTTAATATCATAATCGCAGACTTTTGGATTTGGTGACTCTTCATTTTAACAAAGTGGTGTTAGATTCCTGAACCTGCCGTCTCTTAAAGCCTGTTTTCTGCGTCCCCGCCTTCAAAGTTGAGGCCAGAGTTCTTTCTAAGCTGAGTTAGTGTGAGCTAGCTCACAGTTTCTTAGTCTCTGGCTCACACATTTTTGCCTTAGCTCAGGAAGGATGGCTCCAGAGCAAACTAATTTATGCGGGAGCCAAATTGCTCGCTCACAACTTGAATGCCAGTAGCTCACAAAGTAGAATTTCTGCTCACAAGACTCCGCAGCTTAGAAGGAACATTGGGAGGCATGTGGTTCTTAGAGACAGGGCATTTTTCAGAGCCAGTTTGGTGTCGTGGTTAAGTGCACGGACTCTAACCTGGGAGAACTGGGCTTGGCTCCCCACGCCTCCACTTGCAGCTGCTGGATGACTTTGGGCAAGCCATAGTTCCGTCAGAGCTGTTCTCTCAAGAGCAGTTCTCGAAAGAGCTCTCTCAGCACCCCACCTACCTCACAGGGTGTCTGTTGTGGGGAGGGGAAGGGAAAGGAGTTTGTAAGCCGCTCTGAGACTCCTTTGGGTAGTGAAAGGTGGGGTATAAATCCAATCTCTTCTTCTTCTTCTTTTA